TGGCAGAATATTTTCGAGCTATCCAAGATATATTTAATAATAACAAACATATGTTATTAATTTAAAATAACAAAAGAGATGTGTTTACAAAAGAAAAAACTATATAATTTTTTATTCTAATATTATGGGTGATATTCTCGCACTTTGTTGGGGCGGGGGAGGGGGGTAAAGCTCAAATTATTTCCTTCTTAGCCTCTTATAAATAATCATCACAATAAAAAAAAAAATAATTAAAAATCATGAAATCTGGCGATAAAAAAATAGACGACGAAATCACGCGAATCGGACGCCTCAAATGCATGTTTCGCTTCGAGATTAGGTTGTTGTAATAAATAATATCGTATAAAAAACATCGGATATAAAAACTGAAGAAATCAATAGCAATAACTGCCTAAAATAAGATAGAATTATTGCCTTAAAAACCACGTTAAAATCAATATTAATAACTGCAGAAAATACAATCAAAACATTACATCGATTTACGATGCTATCGGTGCAAATTAAGTGCATCAAAAAGTGATTATCGAAACACATGAGATTCAAATATAACGTGTACATTACTGTAGAAAAGAAAAGTAATTTTTTTCTTCAAAAGGAAAATCTTTCTGCAAGAACTCTAACGTTCTGGCTTTTAATTCTAATTATTAAAAATATTTCGCGATTTCTTTTATTTACAGAGATGGAAAGGTAGCTACAATGTATTCCAATATAATTTATTAATTTACACTTCCACATTACTTGATATTGAGAAGCTAGGTATATAAATCTCAAAATGTTTCGATTGATCTCGAAATGTTTCGATTACTTTCCATAAAATTAGTAGTGCTTTATTTATTACGTGCTTTATTTACTAGAGCTGCACAGAGGGCAATGGCGAAGGTCTGAGAAACATCCCTGAGGATGATCCTAAAACATATCACAGATTTGATCCGCTGCAGAGGGAATGGCACTCCTTTCTCGCTTTGTTAACCAGACGAGGACAAATGCCGGAGATCGTCGATTCCTTCGCAAGCTGATCAAATTTAGTGGTCATTCACTAGCTCACTGACAGTAGTCAGTGGCGTTTTTCTTCAGTAATCTACTAAGAACCATGTTTTAAGAGCAGTTCACTGCTAGACTTTACTTTGTTAATTCTGTTAGTTGAATTGTTTGTTAGTTAGTTGTAATTATTGAAATCTTAATATTGTGCATCAAAATTAAGTGCAATTAAGACATCAGTATGCGTATTTGTTGCTCACCAATTAAATAGTGATGAACCAGATAATAAATTTAATTTAATTTAAATAATAAATTCATTTCACTAATGAAAATAACTATATTCAACAAGAGCTTTCATACTGATCAAATAGTACGAATCACTGTCGAGAGAAAGCAACACAATCTATATACATATTTCTCTTACACGGCACCAAAAAAAAAAAGCCTCATTACAACTCTCCGAATGGCAACGTTAGAAAATCGACCAATAATTGCTGCTAAAAATGTCACATGGCAAATCTATATGAGGTGGCTCAACATATAGCGCTTTTAAAAACGGAAACAATAACCAGAGTGAGCATTATCAGGTTGTTCAATTCAGATTCATGCCCTAAAAACATGATAATATTTAATTTAAACTCAATTAGGAATTAATTA